AGAATGCAAAGAACCATTCACTGAGTGGTCTGTTAGAAGTGTAACAAACCCATTAAGAGTGGCATGACTTCCTATATGTCTTCTTCCTCTGTCCGCCTCCTCTAAGAGAAAACTTCTATATAGCTTACAACAAGAAATTAATTTTCAACTTTTCATTTGAAGGAAATTGTTCAGAGCTTACAGAAATGTAAGAAAATAAAAACTAAATATTGAAGTCTTTAATTTGCAAGATTTCTTTAAGCAACTCTTACTTTAAAAATAAGAACTGAAACATCTTTGAAAAAGACAACTATAGGAGAACCACATTTAAAATGTGTTAAGAAATATTAGTTTTATTTAACCAGTTTTCACAGCTGAATATTTATTCTATAAAAACTTTACAGATTGTACAGTTTATATATAGTTCAAACTACTAGAACAAAAAAGTAGGTCCCACAGATGCAAAAATACTGTACCAATCCAAGGTAAAGGCAGATTTACACACTGTACAGCTCTCCACTGGGAAGGGGAGGTGGGTCAGTTCCAAGTAAAAACTTCAAAACTGTACAAAAATAAGGTTTGATTTCTTTTTCATTCTTCATAATACATTCAGTAAGATTGCAAGCACAGATACCCAAGTAATAATAGGTATCTGCAGTCAGGAATCAATAACCACTCCTGAAAGGAATGCAAAATAGGTCTATTTACACAGGGCACTCTTTTACACCATACTATATATAGTGTATATTTAAAATAATAAAAGAGCATAGACAAAGAACATTAAACATCTAATATAAGGTAGTTTTTTTTTTAAAGGAGTTTTTTTTTTACTTAATAGTGTGCCAAAAGAATTTTAACTTATTAAATAATATATTCTAAGTGAACCTAAAATTTACGAACATAAAATGTATTTTTGGTGTAATACATCAATTAAACCAGCAAATAGGAAAAGAAGAACCAAAAACAAACCCCAAACTGTATATAAAGTAGTATTCTCACCCAGCAACAGAAGCACTTATGTAGTTATTTAAAAAACAAAAAAACAAACCCAGAGAGACTATTTAAAAACCCACTAAAACTAACTTATAACTTAGAATATTCATACAGAAGATATTCAGTGATTCACTAATACTGCAAAACAAGCTTTTTTTGTTTGCTTTTTTTTTCCTCCCCTCTTCCATTTCCCTCCCACTTTCCCTCATTCCCCTTCCCCAAGAGACAGTGGTTTCTTCATGCTATCTGGGTAAGAACTAAACATATTCCTGCCCCCTTCCTCCCACCCTTCCATACCTCCCACCAGAACAGGACCGAGTGTTTTCTTAGCATTAAACCTGAGCACGCTCTCTTTTGGGGGATACGTGTGATCTAATCTTAATAGGGTCTAATTCCCCAACATTTTAGAATGTTCCATTACTTGAGGTATTTCAACCTTCTGCCGAGACAACGCCTTGTATCTTAGCTGACCTGTTGGGCAGTGAAAGCAAGGGCTGGCTAATACCCGTTTCAATTCTGTACTCTAATGAAAAAGAAAAGCATTATTCCAGACTTCCCTGCCACACAGAAATTAATGCAACACCACTTTTTAATCCGTTCTCTATTGGATACAGTACTAGCCAAAGATAACAAAAACTAGAGCCTTTAAAGAGATGTTTGGTAGTGCACTCTATCATTTTTTAGCTTGTGTGTGTGTGTCTTCATACACACTCTCACACACATTTTATATATATATATGTATATATAAAAAGACATATATATGCACACACATACGTGTGTGTGTGTATATATATCTATATGTAACAATCAGGGAGAAAGGAGTTTTGTTCAAATTTAAGTGATACAGTACTTTTAAACCCCCTGACAATAAAAGGGGGGAGGGGGAGGGGGGTCCACTCCTGTTCCCAAGCTGGGCAAGGGGTGAGTTTATATAGAGTTTTTTTTAATGGGCATATTTTGTTTGCCCTGATGTCCAAGAAATGCAGTTCCAGTGTCAATGGGCATCTCATCAGAACTCATCAATTTTCTTCTGCAGATATTTTAACATTGAGTCCATCCCTTGTGCCGAGCCCCAGATTTTCTTCAAAACTTCACACTCCTTTTCATTGGCTTGTTCCAAGTCCACCTTCATGATGTTCCGTACTAAAGCTTTGGATTCTTCAAGTACCTAGGCCAAAGAAAACCCCAGCAGGGCCCTGGGTTAGTCTTGCAGGGAACTGAGCGACAGGTGCGCTTACAGGTTGATATGGACAAACCCTGAAGCTGATGATGAACTTCAGCTTAGCAATTCATGGACATACTGTGACCCTAAGAAACGTTTCTCAGAGTCACTCTTGTAGCATCACACAGGACTTCCTTTACCCTATACCAACACAATTTACAAGTGCACAAAAATGGAAAAATAATGAAATAATGGAAATTACGAAAATTCTAAAATCATAACTATGAGTATATATATATAGTTTTATACTGATAACCAGAGAAAACTCCAACTGTATTTTGGTCAAGGCTAATCATACCACTCTTATCCAGAACCGCTCTAATAACCAGGCAGGCCTTGAATCTCTTCAGCGTTTAAAAAAGACTGAAAAATATCATTTGCTTTTCCATTTAGAAAACTATTAATCTCTTCCAAAATCCAAAACTTCTAATGCACAGAACCGTTAATTTGGGCTGCATCTCTTCTTATAAGAAAGCATCAATTATTGGTAGTTTTAGCTATGTTGTGCAACTGCCAGTAGTGAACACAACCACAAATGCACTCGGCATTACTCATAAAACTTTAAGTTCAACCTAACAGCAAAGACTGCATTTATTTCCTTGGTAATTTAAATTATAACTCAAGTCATTACATTACAGCTCAAGATAACTCAAGATTTCTGTGTTTTTGTTCAGCTCTTAGGGCAACTGCTTACACTGTTAATTAGAGTAAGTGGGACTTCTGCACCTATGTTAAAACTAAAATATATTGTAAACAGTCCAATGCTGTTGTAATGTTCTTAATCACAACGTGCTATGGCATACGATAAAGAAGACTCAGATGCAAACCTTAAAAAAAAATTCTCAAAAACCCAGAAACAAAAAGATACATACGAATGTGTTAAGGACATTGCTATATTAAAATGTGGCATTGTTTCACGGAAATGGTCTTTTTCTGAGAAGAACATATTGATGTAGCATAATAATACTTAAAATAATTCTTATTAATCTAATCATAAAAATGTATTGTAAGAAAATAAAGGAAACTTACAACTGAATTACATGTGACAAGTTCCTTAATTCGAACCATTACTTCTTGTGTGAATGTTCCCGGCCAAAACACTTGAGAGACGAGTCCTTTGGCACAAGCTTCCTGCGCAGTCAACTTCCTTCCACTGAACAACATTTCATTAGCCTGAAGGGATAAAAAGTTACTTCTGGTATGAAATGTAATGAGACAAAACTCATTAAAGGAAAAATGTTCAAAACAAATAAGGAAAATGCCTGCACTATTTGAAATAGTTTTATTATAGCTCTTCCAACTTTTAATTAATAAAGAAAAGGACTTGCCTACAGATAGCTGGTCGGTGATGTTGACCATACTGCATCAGTAGTTATAAAAATACGGAGGTCTATGGTTAAGGGTTAAGGGTTAAAGTGCCTTTTGTCCTTTCCCATTCGTGAATGTTCCTTAGCTCTAGCTTTCTTGCAGTGTGGCTGACTGGATTACCTGTATGTGTGGTAATAGGTTATAACGCCTGGCAGGTCTGCAAAACAGCAATGCGTACATCAGCTTGCCCTTTGTAAGAATGTCAGTTGCAGCAATGAAATCTTTGCTAAAAATCTGCGTTTTCTGTAAATTATACAGACGACCCAGCTGTGGTTTTAGACCTCCTGGGAACTGCCAGTCTTTGTAGAAAAGAACAGTTAAATATTTCGCAATGAAAATGTTTTTTAGTACTGAAACTTTTTGAAACCTAAATACATGGTTTATTTTCAGCACTGCTCAAAAGTCTTCAGCAGAATTTAATTTACGGTGCAACATTTAAAATAGCTGGATCATCTTAGAATTTGACCTCCAGAACCCACTGAAGTGAGCAGGTTATATTCCAATTTCTGATCAAATTCATAGAAAATAAACATTCCCCTTTTATTCAGGAGTTCAATATTGAACTGAGAAATCCTTTCAAAAGCTGATTTAGCAGTCTTCTTAAAAAAAAACCCAGTACAGAACAGAAGACTACATTCTATGCAATGAGATGATCTCGAGTTCTGAAAAGCTTTTTGATTAGTAATTATCATACACTTCACTATCAGCTTCCCCATCAAAACTTCATCCTACAACCAGTTACGCTTCTGCTTTAATTCTGCCTCTGGTGAAGTTTCTTATCTAGTTACACCTTTTGTTTGCAGTGACATCTGCATGGAAACAGCCAGTGAAGAGTAAAAAAGTCAGAGTAATTGTCAGCCTCAACCCCCCCAAACCCCCCAAAACAGTTTTACTGTTTCTTAATGACCAATGTACATTGAAAATATGACAAAGTCATCACTGGACTCTTGGAATATGGGAAATAAGGCTGTTAGAAAACACCCAAGCCTGACAGCTGTAGCATTTCTGAGGACAAAATTCTCAAGGTTTTTAATATTTTCTAATACTGGAAATTTTGGTAATTATTACAGCAAAGTTAAGGATCTCAAGTTATCTACGGTAGGACGTGTTCCTAGTATTGCCATTTCACACATGAAGAAATCTGAAAACTCAGAGGTCTATGGCTTGCCCCTTTGTCATGAAACACAAAGTCTGGGTTCTGCCAGCAGCTTAGTTGCTGACTCCCAGTTCATTAGGCATGTAAAAAAAGAGATGTTTCCTAGGGTCTTTTACATAAAATTTATCATCAGCACATCTCTCATATGTTAATATGGAAAGCTGTGATTCACATATATTAGTTTAAAAAAAAAAGCCTCAAACTAAAGGTACAAATGATATCCCCTATAGTTCTACCTTCTGTGACAGTAAAATCAAGCATACAAGGTTCATTAACTACCACGCCTCCAGCGTCCAAGTTTCCAGGTTATACGTGAATGGGTCTAACCTGAAACACTAGCCAAAAATCAGTGATATACACAAGTTGGTCTAAAACCAGGAACCATTTTCCTAAGGAGATACGGAAAAAAAAAAGTAGTCTTCCAAAATAAAAGATACTTAACATTTATATTAAAGATCAAAACACGAAGTCAGTCTAACTGGGCCTTAGGAAAGTCAGACATGGAAGTCAGCTGGTCAGGTCTACATATTCTTCACGTGTATCTTTTGTAACAGGGACAAAAATGAATGCTAGCAAACCTTAATAACTTTCTTCTAAAGCTCAGTAGCAGGTGCTGAGGTCTCCTGCATGTGAGAACCCACAAATGCTGGTGGTGCAGGTCACTCCTGCCAGCTGTGACACAGCAGCAGCAGCGAACCTCGGGTGAAGTGGGCGCTCCCATTCGTGTTCTCAGCTGACGGGTTTTGCTCTGGCATCTTCACGGTTGAGCTATACGCAACATATGCCGGACACCCACGACTAAACAAGTTGCAATCATATCATCACACCACTGTGAACATTAACACGCTTGGTGGTTACTCTCCAAGAACGAGAATACAGCAATAGAAAGAAAGATGCTAAAAATGATTTCATTAAGGTAAGATTCCCCTATCAGCTCTCCTGTTCTGCTCAGTTCTCCTTGCACAGAGGGCCGTCCTGGGGACATCCTCTGGGCTCTCTCGCAGCACGCCCCAAAAGGGCGCAGGAGGGACCTGCCCCGTGAGCCCGCAGCAGGAGCTGCCCTGGAGCACCTCGGCTCCCCAGCCCTGCCAGCAGGACCCAGCCGGCCTCCACGACGCCGAGACCGCGGCAGAAACATCTGCACCTCCTGACCGACAGCAGAGCCCAGGAAACACCGCCGACCTGCTGGAGGCCGACGGGGGGCGGGAAAAGCAGACCCAGAGCCCCACAGCAGACACACAGAAACACATCTCCCCAGACAGACGGCACCTGAATCTCCAGTATAGACTACTCTCAAAAACTAAAAAACAAGTGTAAGACTCCTTCTAAAATTCTTGATATTTCCAATAAATACAGTATCAGGTTTGAATCCTAAGGTCTGGGCTTCAGACTTCCTGTGCTAATTAACTCTGTTGAACGTGTTCTGTGGGAAAAACCCCCTCTGTGACAGCCCTGCTCACCAGCCAAGGCTGACGGGGTAGGGAACATATTTCCAACAATCTTGCAATTGAAGATTTTTACATAACTGATGATAATAAAAAGGATGCACTGAAGCTGCCTTACAAGAGTTTAGGGTGGGACTAATATTGCTGAATTAATACAGTTGTACCAAATTTTGTGATGCATACAGAGGCCTTAATTATTTCTTTTGTATGATATTCCCACCCCGAATGTTTCTTGTTGCACTTCTGCCATCTCTTCTTTCTGCTGACTTCTCGCTCCCTCTTACAGCTCGAAAGCATGCTTCTTTATCGAACCTGCCAGTATAGATTCTGAATATATTTCATGGAATCTGCTGATTGAAGTCCAACTTTGTCCCATACAGCACTGACACTGCTGTACTGCAGAGGGTGGAGGACAGTATGAAAGCAGTGGACTTCCCCCCCCGCCCTTTGTACTGACTACTACAGAATTGTTATCACTGGAAGCGTTCAGTTTAAATCTTTATATTGAAAAATGTGAGCATCACAAACACACATGAAAGAGTATATTAGGGAAGAGCTCCTTGTGTTTTTACACAACTTTTGGAGAAACAAAAAGTAACAACCACAAGTCTCTAAAGGACGGGGATGGATGGAATGGATGGATGAATGGACGGATGGCCAAATAAAAAGGGAAAGGAACAATCAGTAGTTTGAAACATGCTAAAGTGTTAAAGATACTCTGATAACTGTCAATCTATGTCAGTTACCTTTTCTGTTCTCTTCTAATAACTAAATCCAGACATCACACAATTAGTCATTCTGTTCTAACTGATGCTTTTAATATATCAAAATCTGTGTTTTTAAATCACTAATTGCCCACAGGGAAAAACTGGCTTTTATAATAAACAGTAATTTAGGAAAAACAAGTGTAGCTACAAGCGCTTGTTTCATACTGTTACTATTCAACTCCAAATTGGAATGGGACGCAGGTCTAACAGTTTTCAAAGAACAGCATTAAAAATAGCAACGTGAAAATAACGTAAGAGATTTTTAAACAGCTTTTCGTTATATTTGATTCTTTCATCTAATTGGAAAGCAAGAAAAGGGACACTACGTAACACGTGCCTTATGTTTTCAGCAGCAATGCAGAGTGTTACCTTTTTTTTTTTTTCCAATCCAGCAATATTGTAAAGGCAGCGCAAGACTGAAAAAAAACAAATCCTTCACCAAGGTGATCTGGACTGAGCATTTCCCGCATAACGCACTAGCGTTACACATCAGCAGAGGCCTACAGAGCGAGGAAGTTGGACGCGACTGCTTGAGAACGAGTGCGTGAACGCCAAATCCCTTACTCTGCGTCCCGGCACAGCCTGCGCGCGGCTGGGGACGCAGCGCTGTGCTGCGCAGCGACGCTGAGCGCAGACCGGCCCATCCCTGCTACAGCCCGACGCTGCGCCGAGCGCGGGACACTGGTGGAGTGTCCTGGTACGCAGGACGTGACCCTGCTGCCACCGGCGGGGTTAAGCATGCCCGTGACGTGGGATTAGGTCCCGTGCCTGCTCTCTGTTCTGGGCACGCAGGTGAAGACTAGGTTGTAACGGCTTGGAGCAGAGAAGCTACACGTACTGGTTTCTCATGAAAGGTTTTCATGAGAGAAAGAAAAAATAAAGAAAAGACAACACAGCAAAGGTAAAAAGTCTTGAAATCACTCTGGATAAATTATCACAACTGCATTGTGAAGCTGTCAGCCCCTACCCTGCAAGCTACTTACAGAAGCCAGGCCCATTATCCGGGGGAATGTAAGGGATGAACATCCATCTGGACTTTGTCCAAAAGTAGTGTATGGTGTCTGAAACCAAGCCTTCTCGTTAGCCCAAACCACGTCACACAGAGGCAATATAGATGCTCCAAGTCCAATGGCTGGGCCATTTACTGCTACAATGATAGGCTTCTTAAACTGAATAAAAGTATTCACAAAATTCCTGAAGAGAAACAGAAACATGCACTCACTACATATAAAGAAAGAGTAAAATACACCAGCCCTTGAAAACTCAGTAATAATTCATCGCCACAGTAACATCACTTTCAAAACCAACCTGATACAACCTTCCACGATGAGGTGGTTAGCTTGGTGGATGAGAGGAGAGCGGTCGATATCGTCTACCTAGACTTCAGAGTGTCTCCCGTAAGACTCAGACAAGCTGTTGATGTATGAACTGGATGAGCAGACAGTGAGGTGGACTGAAAAATGTCTGAATGGCTGGCCCAGAGGGTGGTGATCAGTGGCACGAAGCTGAGCTGGGGCCAGTAATTAGTGTTGCACCCCGAGGGGTCAGTGCTGGGTCCAGTACTGTTCAACAGCTTCATTCATGATCTGGATGGTGGGGCAGAGCGTACTCTCAGCAAGTTTGCTGATGATACAAAACTGGGCTGATACACCAGAGGGCCGTGCTGTCATGCAGAGGGACCTCAACAGGATGGAGAAATGGGCTGACAGGAACCTCATGAAGTTCAACAAAGGGAAGTGCAAAGTCCTGCGCCCAGGAAGAACAACCCCAGGCACCAATATGTGCTGGAAGCCAAACAGCTGGAAGCAGCTTGGCAGAAAAGGACCTAGGGGACACCAAGTTGAACTTGAGCCAGCAGTGTGCCCTCGTGGAAAAGAAGGCTCGTGGTATCCTGGGCCGCATTAGGAGGAGCATTGCCAGCAAGCTGCGGGAGGTGATCCTTCCCCTCTGCTCAGCACTGGTGTCCGTTATGGGCTCCCCAGTGGAAGAGAGATGTGGGGCTACTCAAGATGGTCTAGCAAAGGGCCACCAAGATGACTAAGGGACTGAAGCATCTCTCGTGAGAAAAGGCTGAGAGAGCTGGGAATGCTCAGCCTGCAGAAGAGAAGGCTCAGGGGGACCTCATCAATGTGTATAAATACCTGAAGGGTGAATGCAAAGGGGATGGAGCCAGGCTCTGCTCAGCGGTGCCCAGTGACAGAACCAGCGGCAGCGGGCACAAACTGAAACGCAGAAGGCTCCCTCTAAACATCAGGAAACACCTTCTTACTGTCAAGGTGACTGAACAGGCGGCCAGCAAGGTTGTGGACTCTCCATCCTTGCAGATATTTAAAAGCCCTGCCTGGACATGGTCCCGGGCAACCAGCTCTGGGTGAGCCCTGCTTGAGCAGGAGCAGGTTGAACAAGATGACCTCCAAAGGTGCCTTCCAACCCCAACCATTCTGTGATTCTGTGAAAGCTTAGCATTTCTCCCAGCCCAACAAAGCACAGTAAGGGGGCAGGTGTGGATTTAATGCCCCCCCTACAAGCACCGGCTGATACGGCACTTGGGGTATATTCACATGCCTCGCAGCCCTCTCTTAGGTGAGGCTGTAGTGATACCTCACCTCCGGCCACCAAAACCATGCTTACAGCCCTACTTGGTCTTCACCGTGCTTCTGTACGACATTGGTATAAGCTATCTATCTATCTGTCCTTAAGTGAAGGTATAAGGTATACAGGTATAAGTGAAGGTGGGGAAAGCATTAATGAGCTTCCTTAAGGAGCACTTCTAGACTTCTGGGAGACAGCTTTTCTTAATAAATAAACCTGCTTTTTAAAATTATGAATGAGCCATAAATATCAGAGCTCCATTATCATGTATCACACACTCTTAAACTTCCCCTCCTCATCTCCCTCTCTTGGTTGGTCATAATGCTGTGGGCGCTATGCTATTAAGTTACAAATGCATATTCTCATCCTCATGATCAACACAAAATAACAATTCATTCCACGACCCACAGAGCACGGATGCTTACATGTTTCTTTGTTCTCAAACAGTAAATGCCTTCAAGAGCTTCTTAGGGAAAAGTGAGTGTGTGTGCACACAAGCATTAGACCAGGCAGAGACTTCTAAAGCCTCAAAGCTGAGGTTCTGACATTTCTCAGTTAATAGCTACCACATATAATGAAGAAGTTGTCCGTATTTACTTCAAGTACACGACAAATTCTGATTAGAATACAATGTACAACATACAGTTGTCAACACCTGTAAAGCACTCCTTTGCTCTGAATGACAGATGGTTTTTCATTTCAGTATTAGATGCTGAAATACAGGATTTTAATCAAAATTTTAAAAAAGGGGGTTTAGTGGTAATTTTAAAGTTTGCTCTTTATCTGCATTACGTGTTTCTGTATTTCTGTGAAACAGGACATTTTTACTACATTGCTTCCACCACTGAAGGTTATCATGCTTCTTAACTCATTCTAGTGAACTGAAATAGATGGATGCAAAACAATTTCTGCTGGAACCATCTTATGCAAGCTGGCATACGAGCATCCCATCCAGAGACTTAACATAATTTTAATCACATCTGAATATTCCAGAGAGAACCACCTATAGCACATATACAAAAAATACCATTATTATATTTGAAGGGGGAGGGGTGGGTTCATAGCTGTTTTAAGTTACCTTTATCCATTTTATTAACAATGAATAACAGGTGACAAATCAGGCTTCTGGAAGGGCCTGAATTAAACTAGTGACAGAAGCTCAGTGTTAAGAGCCTCTGTCCCCAGGCCACATCTGAAGTCACTGCATAAGCAACTTTTATACGGAACGATTGAAAATTTTCCTTTGAAAAAACTATTATCATCTTTGTACACCAACTGTGCCTCAGTGAAACAGACATTACACGTTACAAGGCCTTTTTTCAGGATGTGAATATTGATATGACAACAGAACATAGATCTCTGCAGGAACACAGATACTCTGGACGTACACAAGAGCTAATCCAAGCGCCCAGGCCCTCCAAACCAGTGTTCAAATGGTAAGCTGCTTGTTTGTACTGCTAAAACGTGTCTCTCTAAGATCCACACTTTTTCCCATATATAGTCTTCTAGTTTGTGGTAGTTCAGCTCATTTTATTTAAATGTTAGGTTTGGTACCCAGTGTTGGGATGATGTTCCCTAGTATTAATCTACTCCTCTAAAAATATTCATCAGTCTGCTGCTCTGAATGCACCGTATTAAGTTACTCTCTCAATGCACATCTTGTATTTGTGTGTGTTAAATTTGCTTTCCTGAAACCCTATGGCTGTTGAAATCCTTTAAAATTGGTTTCAGCTGGAGGAGTATTACCATACTACCAGTTTTCATAGTTAAATTTTAGTAGCAAAAATAGTGATGCATGAAATGACAACCCAAATAGAAAGGGACAGGGAGTAGAAAGAAGTGCTGCACACTATATCACGAACAGGTGAAAGTCCGAGATCTTGTTGAATTAGAAGGTTTTCAAATAAAAAAGATAAAACAAGCCAGACAACACGATGAAGAATACCCACTCAGATGACTGAAGATAATCTTACATACCTAATAGCTTCTGCCATCTTAGTGCTTTCCTTTTTTCTATCATCTGTTAAACGTCGTATAAAATAAATAAAATCAAGACCACAGCAGAAAATGCTACCAACTGCACTGAACAGCACGAGTTTACTGTCATCTGCAGCTGCTGTGTTCAGTGCACTCTGGACTTCCTTCATTACCTGAAAAATCAAAACTTCGTTAGAATCTTTTCATTACATCTTTAAAAAGTAACATACTCTTCTCCTCCCCTCCTCCTCCCATGCAATTTTCAACATCTTTAATTTTTCCTTAGGATCCACTCAACAGTCATATTAGAAAAGTTAACTTTTTTCATTATACCAAAATAAGAAAGTTAAAAAAAAGTACTAGAAGCTTTGCATTTCAAAAATGTAATTACACTGAGAATGAAATCATTAAGAAGAGATCTATTAGATGTTATCTGTAATTAAAGCACTCGTTCAGCATTTCTGTAATTTGGACAGCAGATGGCATATGCAACCAGTTCAGAAAAAAAGAGCCTTAATTCAGGCTAAAGTTTGTTTCCAGTTGCACTTCATAAATCGCCACGTCTTGTAAAAGAAAGCACGTCTACGTGTTCAGAAAACGTAGATAAAACTCAACTGAATTGCACTTCAAGTCATTTCTAGGTGTAACACCTTGCCAGCAACCACCTGAATCTTGCTTCATGTGTGTTTGTGCCCGAATAACTGGCGTAAACGAGGCAGAATGCAAAATGTGTGTGAATCCATCTTGTTTCCTGACAACAATGTCTCTGTACCGGTAGGCGCTCTCCGTCTGTCTCACGCTGAAACGTAGCCTTTTATCGAAAGGTTGATCTCTCCTGTCGTCAATAAACCTCCGCTTGCTGGCTGTCACCCCTGTCACAGACGTCTGTATGTTGGTTGTACCATTGGCTGCTAATGCTTCCATAAAGGTGGAGGTACCTGGAAAGTTTAAACAGTAACACTCTATTAATGAAATTATTAGCTCAGCAGTTTCAAAATCCCTATTGGCATGCAAACACGCTAGCCACATGAAGAACACACAGTAAATATGAAACTCCGTCCCCTGGAAGTTACTGAAATATTACAGAAATAGACACTGTGCACAGTGTAAAACTGAAGTGGCAAAGGGACCCAATAAATTCATTTTACAGTTGTAAGAAAATACATTTTGAACAAGCCAAAGAGACCAATCATCATATACTTATTTCTAGAAGGAAGGGAAAGGTTTATTTAATGTTCTTAATACCGATGCCCTTCAGTAGGTTAATGCTCTGCTTCATCCCTTTCCAACATCTTTAAAGTCATCTAACAGCATCAAGATTGCAAAGAGAAAGCTGAAGTCTTTTGTTTCAAATGCCACAAGAAGTTAATATACGGAAGAAAACAACACCTACAAGAAGCCAAATAAAGAACTTGATTGACAAGATCACACAAAGCATAATAAGTCTTTAAAGGAAAATGGAAATGAAGAAACTAAGACTCAACTTCTGTGAGAGGGGAACAAGACCAATGCAGCGATGGATGTTTTAATGGATTCACAGACAATGAGATATTTCTCAAGTCTAAATAACTTTTGCTATTAGAACGGGCAAATAGAGCATTATGTCTTTCTGGTCTTGTTCCCAGTCACTTCAACAGACAGAATTTGAAGGCATGCAAGCGAACAGGTCATTCTTCATGACACACACGGGACTGGTTTTTCTGTACTCCACATTAGAAACAAAATGCCAAATCATTAACATTTGTAAGAGAAAATAAGAGAACATATTGGATTTATATGTTGAAGTCTTCATGTAAAATCTCCATAAAATTTGGCAGATTTAAATAACGGAGTATGCATGGGGGGGGGGACGACGACAGAAGGGTTAAAAATCTCGGAAAAATGTGTTATAGGCCAAGATTAGAAAATGTTGAAAGCCTTCTCCTGAAAACTGAGGTCTGAGACTTTGGTAAAATCTACTGGAAACTCACAGCCCTTACTTCACCAACAGGTACTTCAGAACATCATGCATAAGATGTCTTGAAAAGCACAGTTAAACCCTGTATAAATAAGTTGTTAATTAAATGTCATTGATGGATCTTGGTTAATTCATCATTGTCTTCCCAAAGAAGCTACATTTTTAAAGTTCTGATAATATGTGATGCTATGATTCTTAGTGTGTTGGGTTTTTTTTAATAAGATACTTCAAACACTTGTGGGTCCAGGGAAGACATTAAACAGGGTCACCTAAATCACTGCAATATCCTATATCTCCACATTTCAACTGTATTCAAGTGTTGCTTCCTTTGACCTGTATGAAGTATGAGAGAGAGATTAAGAGAAAGACTAACAAAATTAGAATTTAGAACATTATACGTTTTTCTATTTGTATTTCAGAAACTGCTTTCAGATATAAAGTCTTTACATCAAATATTTTAAAATAACTATATCTTTGATGATAAATCTGTTATGATAAATTAGGTGAGTTGTCTGTCAAAGGCGCTACACAATAATAAGGTTTTATTTTACTTTTTAAAGTCTTGTTGCATTAGTGATTTAATCCTCTTACCGTGTCACTTTTTGTGGAGAAGTTAAAGGCAAATCACAGTTTTTCACTTGTTTAAAGTGAAGACTAAGAAACTGAATTCACTTTGTGATCGGTCTCAGAGACAACAGAGGTGAACAAAATTAAATGGAAAATTAATATTTTATATTGTCACATTAGTTTCACATTTATTCCTAAATTTTTCATGGCTTATCAAATTAATTTTTCCATTTCAGCAGAATAAATAAAAATCCGAGGCGTACCAAATATGAAAATGCTGAGGGATGCTTTCGATGCCCTTCCCTTGTAAACCACACCGTGTTGGTTACATTCCTTCCGAAGAATTCCCTTCAAAGGGAGCTCGCCGGAGCACCACTGTTGCCCCATATTTCATTAGGAACACAAGAGGAAATGGTATCCCCGGCCACAATAGTTTGTTTTTCCATAGGAAAGGTAAATTAAAACAACTGAAATAATCTCTGATTTCTAAACCCTGATACAAGATTTTATGGCTTTTTTTCTAGCCCTAATAAAAAAAAACAGCAGAGCACAATAGACCAGACGAAGCCAAAAAACGTCAGTGAACTCATGTAAGAGCTTTGCGTAGCTCTTTTCCCATGACTTGTACTTCCAAAGATGTGCTCAAATACCAGAAAATTACTTCTGAGACGTGAGAGACAATGATTATACACTTTGAGAGACAGAACTTTTGGCAAGAGAGATCAAGATGGAAACACCACACACCACTTCTCAAGCTTATTGAATTGCCAAGAAACCTTTGGAGCTTTGCTCTAAGCTCTGCCTGCGCTTGTCAATAGCTGCGGTTGCAAGCCACAGAGGAGGGACACTGCCGTTCAGTGGAGGAATTCTCCCACATCCACTCTTGCAAACGCACGTCTGGGATACTGAGACTGGAATCAAAAACCTGTCGGCTTTTGAAACGCCCTGCGCAGAGAGGTTCAGCCACCTGGTAGGGGTTAGACAGCGGCACCGACAGCATTGCAATACGCTCCTTCGCGTTTGTCGTTAGCGCTGTACGCTTGTGACCTTCTGCACCTTAAAGCACAGGGGCTCTTTCCTTCGGCGTTCGGTCCCCCAAAGCGAGGAGACAGCCGAGAGGCGCAGGGCAGCACTTCACGCTGTATGCAGCAAGCAAAGGTTCGTCACTGCACGATCTGGGACAGTGAGGGCAAAGATAAAAAAGTGCCAGAGAGAATAACTGTATCGCCAAAGATTTCCTCACATGAAAATTTTGCACTGAGGTTACTTATTTGCAGGTAAATTAATACATTATTTTACAACTTTAAAATACAGATTTCATAACAAACCAAGAGCAGTTCCACATTTCAATCTGGTAATGGAGATAGCATATCAACGACAAACAAAACCCCACAGCCCTCTCCTTCCAAACTGAGCCTTCCAAAGCCAACAAGGGCTTGGGTGAAAGACAGTTTACCCTGGATATTGTCAACTAATGCAGAGCTATGTTTGTTTCAGAGGTAACCAAACAGCTCTTCTAGTTACAAAAGCCCCTTCCAACTGCAAACCGTTCGTTCGCGTCATGCGACCTTCCCAAAGGCGCGGACAGGCTCCCTGCTGCTGCGCAAAGCTCCACCGCACAGACGCAAAACGAAATTAAGAGGACTGCTTGGGTTTGCAGCTGCGGATCAAAACCTGGTAACAGGCACCACTTTCACGCAGCTGCTCTTAGAGAAAAAAGCAAGCTATGGGCAACAGATAGGAAAGGAACTGGTCTTATTCTAAAGACATGAGATATCGAAGTTGGAAAAGGCACAGAACAGCAAAGGTAGCGTCATCCCATTCCACTAGCAGAAGACAGAAAAAAGCCACCTCTCCAGAATATGAGGGGGATAACAATTAAAGTGCCTGATGCCAGACATCTAGCTAAACAGAGCTAAAAATAAAACAGGTGACACACACCTTCACAACAATCCGAAAGTTGAAATCCCAAGCTCCTCTCTAAGCTGTTTGTGCCTCACTGTTACTGCCTCCCAAATTCTCGAGAAATTCAGTTTAGTTTACACAGCAAGCCTTGAAAACAAACACTGCCCTCCCTGCAACGATACCGGGGACACATCCAAACCCGTGCTTCAAACCAGCCAAGCCTCCTCGGCGCTGTTCTCTTCGAGCACACACGTGTTAGTGGCAGTACCCTTAACTCAGAGGTTTGGCTGACGGAGCACGCTGTTCCTCAGAGGCTTAGCACCGACGGCTACGGAACACGCGTAAGAAGATGGGAGCTGTGAACGATGCTGTCGGAGTATTTTCCCCAACTCCAGCCACCAGAAATTTAGCAATTCCTAAAATCTGCATGCCCAGAACCATAAGGTGCACCCAAACCCATGTAATTAAATCCTTATCCCCCCTGGGATTGTCCAATTTCCTTCTGAAACCACTGTGGTTTTGTCTCCCGAAGTATCTTTTGGCAGTAAGTTCTGCAACATACAGCTTTCCTTTCTTCCTCCCTTTTGTCACATCCCTGCTCCAGACTGATTAGTCCCAATCTCACGTACCCTTCTTCCCGAAGCCAGCCCGAGCCTGTCGTTCTTCTCCACGCCTCTGCCTCTTCTACTAAATTGTGGAACAGGGTCCAAAATGGCACATGATATTCAGGATGGGGATTTATAACGTGGCATATTTGAGTCTTCTCTTTTGTCCTCTGATCATTTTCCACAGTGATTTCTAACAATCTGTTTGTTGAGGTTTTTTGGTTTGTTGCTTTTTTTTAAACTAGCCCTGAGCAGGTGTTTCCAGAAAACCACCCAAACCAAACCCAGTGCCCTTTTCCTCGGCAGTAACACGTGGCCAGGAACCAGTCATTGTCCAGGCATGGCTTTAGGCTACAGGCATAGTTTTGCCTAGAGGTCTGTTTCGTCCCCTCCTCATTCCTTGGCATTCATCTGTGCTGAAAGTAATCTCTCATTTTAATCACAAAATCACTCGGTATTTTCAGATAAGCCCGAAGTGCTCACCAGCAGCTTCAGGGACCCACACATTTTCCTGTACCCTCACGCACCGACCACGTCCTTTCCTACACTGAATGACAAAATGGTTAATAAGGAGCATCCCACTCGAATAAGCAAATGAACAAACACCAGCAACAACGATAGCGTTTTAGTGTTAACTGCAAAAATAAACCTGTAATTGTAACTGATTACAACTCAAGTACCAGAGAGGGAAAAATATGATCTGCAAAACTGATTGGGAAAAAAAATTAAATTTAAAATAGAAATAATAATAATAAAAATAAAAATCAGTGTTAGAAGTTGCATTTTGTCCAAAGTCCTTTCCATACTTCCACTGCTTGATAGTCCCCTCTATAGGTAACCCACCAGACTTGATGCCAGTTGTCCCGTGCAGGTTGCCTCACGTTCCCTTTTCGCCTGCGAACCA